TGCGTGTGCGCGTGGACGCGTAAACCTGCGCGCGCGTGTGTGTGTGTGTCGGTTCGCGTGTACATGTGTGTGTGTGTGTGTGTGTGCGAGTGTGTGCGCGAGTGTGGTCTGCGGTGGCGGCGGCGGGCAACGGTCTCTATCCTTTTGGTCGGGGAAAACGGCCACAGTGCTGTGCGAGTGTTGCGGCCGGATAAACGTGCAGGCGCCATAGCGGTTGTGTGTGTATACTGCGCGCGGCACGGTCGGTGTGTCTATCGAGTTGATTGCGTCTCTGGACGTGTCGACGAGCACAGTCGTTCGGATGTCCCCCACATACAGCTAAAACAAACCAAATAATCGCGTGAGCGTGCAGTATATATGTATTTGTATATAAAATAAAATATATCCATAACTGCGACGACGGCGAATTCGGTGGTTTCCTGCATGTGCTCGACGTCGGGTTCTACAGCCGGTCCTCGACGGGAAAAAGCGTACGGAAAACGACTGCCGGGTGGCAGCGGGTACTCACGTAAAGTCCAGGAAGTGCACCGATAACACTGCGCTACAGCGGGAGTCCTTGAAAGACCAGCGTGTGGGTAGCGTAAAATCAGCTGAAGTAGCAGTGCATCAGGTCATAGCGGAGGCTCTGGCAACCGTTGTGGTGCTGCAGGTGCAAGTGCAGGTGCTAAAAACATTCAAGTCACAATAGTCGTCGTCGTCGCGTAAGAGCGGCTCGCGTCCGCGTGACAAGAGACCCGGAGAGGGCTGTTGTTGCGCGCGGATGGGCTGCGATCTGGGCAAACTGGCCAGCTCGGCCACGTCCGGCGACGACCGCGGCGGCAAGCACAAGGACGTGCTGCAAGAACCACCAAGCCCAGGCCCCCCGGAYCCCAGGCTCCCGCTGACGGCAAAGCAGAAATACAGCATGATCGCATCGTGGAAGGGCATATCCAGGGCAATGGAACCCACTGGGGTATACATGTTCATCAAGTATGTACCGCGCGTATACCATGTTATTACCATGCCAGTTCTCGATATAATAATATTTTATTGAGCGAATTCACATCTCCGCACCGTTAATTTTAACCGTGTTATTCTTATTAGTTGACACCATTTATATACTATAATATTTTGTTCCACAATATAAAAATTATCCACGTGTGGGTCGTGAATACATGGGCACATCATACAATCAATTATAATTAGTTCCCCCCCCCCCATTAACTAGAAAAATGGTTTAGCGACACCACTGTTATTGTTATATTATTAGCGTCATATTTTATAACACCTACATGAGTATAATGTCGTTTTGGGTTTATGGATTGGTATATTTATATGTCCGAATCAACATTGGAGCCCTACCCCATTAATGCTACAGGGTAAATAATATTATGGTAATGGTGGATAATCGACGTGTCTGTAAGTTGTGTATTATATATAATTCTATTATTAGTTATACTTAAAATAATAAATATTAAACTTATCAATGACTACTGCTATATTATGTGACTATGTGAGTGGTACCCGGCTTATAATTACAGGAAATAATATATTATAAAAATAATATTTTTGTTTTTTTAAAGAAGACTTAATAACCATTCCATTATCCACTACGACAGATAAAAGTTTCCATATATCGTTTGAGTAGGTACCTTCTATGTTTCCCATTAATCAAAGTCTCACGTTTCATTGGCCTGGTGAACAAACCTATCTCAACTTTCATTAGATACTATACCAATATGCGTAAGGTTAGGATGGTTATGTGTTACATGTTAAGTTAAAGAGATAATTTAATCATTACAACACATGTAATTCTCATTAATTATTTTTATTTTATTTTTGTGGGAAGACAATCGGCCTAATGCTTCATTCAAATTTAATATTTGGGATCCACTGAAAATTTCCGGTTCTGTATCGCTATTTAAGTGAATTTTACAACCTTCCTGGATCGGTTTCGTAAATAGGTTATAATAAGTCGTTTTAATATTATTGTAATAATAGTTACAAATAATAATATTTTTTCGGCTATTTTTGTAACTTAATAGAATGTTCTGACAAGACCATAAAACTATAGCACCACCCGCTAGTCAATCGTTGCAGGTGAGTTTTTCGAGATTGACCTCGGCCGATTATAATAATATGCACCGTGTTAGGTTAGAACGATCTTGTGTAAAAGCTATTTGCATCACGCTTCGCCGACGCCAAAGGGATATAATACATTATAAAGACAAAGAGTTCCCGGGCACTTTATATAACCGCGACCGTGGTGTATACATACATATATACGTGTGTGGTGTCGATGACGACAACGACGGAAAATAACACTTGACTCTTCAAACGTGGTATTTGCGTCTAGTAAATTATAGTTTAGTTTTTTTTTTTCAAGCACATCCCAACATTCCCAACAATGATGACGTTTCTGAGGAAATCGAAATAAGGCCGGGACGGAAAACGCGCGCATCGTAGTTTTTCCTCAATGCAGTAAAATTATCTTTTGCAGGGTATAACTACGTTTCATCGAATAAAAAAAAAAATCATTTGTTATAACACTATAATGTAATATAAAAACGTAAGAGTATTATTATTATTATATTATTATTATTAACACTTTGTTGTGTCTACACATAATAATATTWAATATATATAAATCTTCGTATGTGTTTGAATTTTTTACTCGTACCGCATGTTAAAGGATGTATATATATATTTATTATATACGACCTGGCTCACCCGACTTTAGGGTCTAACGTTTAAATCCAACTGAATTACCTACTCAAAAAGCTCGGCATAATAGTGCGAAAACGAGACGCGATGACATCACATAACTACATAATTCAACGAGCGCATCAATACAATATAATATATAATATAATAATATGATGCCACTCCGACAAACTGTTTTTTGAATTCTATAGCCAAGATTTTTTTTTTATTATATACACCTACGCGAGAAAATATGAAAAGATATCGAAAAGAAATCGGTATAATACCTCAGTTACACGTCGAGATGCGCACGTTTATAAATAATAATAATAATAATAATAAAAATATTAATATTATCGTAATATATTGGCTCGAATCAAGGGCTAGGTGGGGGTTAAAAACGGAAATCGCTTCGAACGGTGGAGAATTTGCCTATATATAGGTAACATWATATTATATTGGTACATAAACAGAATGAATAATCGATGCACGGACGCACGTTGTATTTACCACGTTGTATGTTATATTATGATAATAAATAATATGATTAATAATAATATTTAATAAGCAGATAGACGGTAGCCGATGTGGCGAATGTGTTTTGTTTTGTTGATGGCTTAAATTTTGATTAGACGTGTCAAACCTCAAACTACGTGTTTCATGATTCAAAATAATTATAATTATAACAGCGATAATGAATAAACGGATGTTCGTCAGTTATTATGTTATATTGAACGAACGTGGAGGAGAATCGTAATTTCTAAAATTGTGTTCCAATACCATTATATTGGATTAGCCGTGTTGAAAAATGCAGTACGTGTTATTTCTGTGGCATCATTAAGTTTGAGTTTCTCTTAGAACTTATACTCAAGTACAATTCTTTGCACGTTTCAATTACTATTATAATAAATTCTCGAAACTTAAAAGTATATTAAGTATTACAAAATATATAATTATTTCGATGCACACAAATCGTATGATAAAATAACAAGAAAATTAAATAATATTATTTTTTTAATAAAATATTTTTTTTTAAATATATATATCTATAAAATCAATAGGTGTTTTATTGCTGTCAGTCTGTAATAATCTATACAAAAACCTGAGTCATTCTTTGAAGTACGTTATTATTGAATATATTATGCTTTTATACTTTCTTGTATTTTCTTCATGTGGTACTTTGGTAGATATAAAAAATATTTAAATTTTAAAATTTGTTTTGTAACACGATAGAGTAGTTTCAACAATCGAAATTGATTTCAAAGTACAAAACATTCAATGTATATTTATAGTTTAAAATTTTAAATATAGGTATATCGCTATAATATTATTATTATTACAAACAATTTAATACATTGTACTCTTGCTTATGATTATTTTATGTTATATCGTCCACTTGAATCACTGTATAATAACAATTATATATCAATAACTCAAACATTGATATTWAATATTAAATAAAAATATTAACCTATAGCTGTTTAATCTGATGGAGCCTTAACAGTTAAAATTTTCGTCAAAATTAGTACATTTTTWAAAAAATAAAACCGCAATAAAGAATCATGTTRACTATAGCCTTTTTTTAAAATAAATACTTATACTATGTAAGAAAATATTATAAACACACAACCTTTATAAATATTATGCATATTATGTAATCTTTAATTAATAGGATATATTTTTCCAAATGTTTTTTAATTTTTTAACAAGTATTAGTAGGGAGGTAAGTAGGTAACCTACTTTTTGCTGCGTTTTATTTGATAGTTTTTTTTTTCACGTTTTATTCAATATAATTTTTCACACCTATGGCATTATTCTTAGTTTTTTTTTAACTTGAAATATACTACAGAATATGAAAAATATCAAATAGTAGCATTTGAAGTAAAATTCAGAAGATGCATTAGTTTACATAAGTTTACATAATATACCCATTATATTAGGTTAATTATGTCAGTTTGAAATAMAAATAAAGACGAATCGAATTGATCTASCTTAAATTTAATATTAATTTGTAGACATCGGCTGTAGCTGCATCATAAGTGTCCGCGATTGTAATGCGTTTCAATATTCAATTTCGAAATAATATTTATGGTCGATGATTGAGCTCATGGAAAATTGGTTTTTATTGTAAATATAACAATAGAATACATTTGAATTTACTGGACGAGCACTATAAAACTATAATTTAAGTGGAGCGCAATTCACTGGTAAATGGTGATACACGTGTTTTAGTAAAACCTTCTCTGTCGGGTGAACTATGATGCATTTCAGTATTTTACACATCAAGGCTAATGCGCACGATCTCTTGTACAAATATAACAGTAGGTACGACTTACATCGATAAAGCTATGGCGGTGGTGATGGGGTGTTTTGTTTTCAACAACAATGTTTGAGTTGAGGATAGTCGAGAACAAGTAAGTTGCTTTGATTATATTATGATGATAACCATGGAAGTCCATGGAACTATAATATATTTTGTAAATACTCAGAAAACAGGGTAATTTTTTTCCAACCTTTTAATTGTTGTTTGTTAAAAGACATTTAAAAAGTTTTCATGTTAAAAATTAGTTTTTTTCACAGTAATTCAACACAATAAATTAGTTAATATTTATAYATTCGTATATTTGAATCTAAGATTTTTTCGTTGAATTTACAGTTTCGTATTCTCATTTATATATGTATATATTAATAATATCACCTTTGTTTTTAAAAACACGATTTCATAAATAACACTTAATACTATTTTATTTTCATTTTTTGAAATTGGCTGCAGATGTTGTCCAATAATATCTATCGACTATCTTAAAGACAAAACTGGCACAAAGCCATTTTCACGAATAAATTTTTATTTTATAATTYACTGTCACATGTGAATGTTYCTTTGACCAAAAAAAAATCTTATTTTTCGATCATTAAAATATTGTACAATATAAATATCAAAAAATCTTTAATTTGATTTACGATTTAAATACGAGTTCAATATAAAATTTTATCATTTTGTTTTGTTCAGTGCTCACAACAAATTAAACACTCAGGTAWATAAATATTCACAAAAATTAACAATATTTTCATATAAAATATTAAAATATAGTTATTGCAGGATTAATTTTTCAATTACCTAAGGGCTTGGAATAAGAAGCATTATTAAATTACATATTTGTGTTAAAATGGCTTTCATTACTGAGGCTCGGAAAAAGTTGAGTTTAGTTGTGTTGTGTGTACTGTGTAGACACTGAACACTGATTTAACTAAATGCCATGAGCTGATTATAGTCGCGTAGACTTACT